GGACAGCTACCGTGCATCAGGAGGGAGGAGAGACAACACTGTGGGAGGAAGGAAAGGACACAAGAGGAGGAGAAAGGGACAAAGGGAAGGAGACATAGGGCAAAGCAAAAGTTTGTAAATTACACATTGGAATGAGTGACGGAGGAAGAAAAGGAGATATAGGGAAGAAGGGAAGGACTCAAAGTAGGAGAGAGGGGTCGAAGGGAAGGAGATCAATCAATCAATCAATGTTTATTTATATAGCCCAATATCACAAATGTTACATTTGTCTCAGTGGACTTCACAGTTTGTACAAAATATCAGTATGACAATACGACACCCTCTGTCCTTAGACCCTCACATCGTACAAGGAAAAACTTCCGAAGAAAACCCACAGTTTAAAGGGAAAAATGGGAGAAACCTCATGTTAGGAGGAAAGCAAGTAGGAGATGGGGAGGAAGGAGGGGAGAAATAGGACATAAGAAAAGTAGTAGAGAGAGGAAGGAAAGGAGATATTGGGAGGAAAGAAAGGATACAAGGGTAAGAGATGGGGAGGAAGGAAAGGAGATGTTGGGAGGAAAGAAGGGGACCCAAGTCTATGAGATAGGGAGAAAGGAAAGGAGACATGGGGAAGAAGGAAAGGTCTTAAAGGTAGAAGAGAGGAAGGAAGGAAAGGAGACATACGGTAGGTCAAATGGGAAGTAGTACACATTATAATGGAGAGAAAAGGGAGGAGATGCTAGGAGGAAAGAAAGGACACGAGTGTAAGAGAGAGGAAGGAAGGAAAGTAGACATTGGGAGGAAGGAAAGGAGGCAACAGGGAGTAAAGGGGGAGGAGGAATTGCAGTGGGAGGCAGGGAAGACCACAGCAATCAAATGTTCCCCTGAGTGGAGGATAATGTGATAAATGGAAAAGTGAGCCTATGTGTGTGCAGCTGCATATCTCATGTTTAGTTATCACAGAACACTCATCCTACTTCAGAGGATGTTTCAAACAAATCCTGCATTTAAAGGAAGTGAATGATAATCATATAAACAGCCATTTTACCCATCAAGGTTACGGATCGAAGGAAGTGGAAGATGGGACGTTTATTGTGCAGCAGAAGCAGCTATAAAGCAGAGTGCATGCATTGTTTTAACAAGGACTTAATGCAGGCTGCTGCCAAGAAGTTTCACTGACGGTAATGAACAAGGAGCTGGCTACTGTACCAAACCTTTATTCTCATGTATCACTACTTATTAACGTGACTGAAGATGTGTCTGTGATGCTAAACAGCAGGTTTATAGTCAGGGCATTGCTCCGTGCTGTCGTTGTATAATATTAAAGGACAGTTGGATGTCAGTTACCTTCAAAGTCACTGGTAGACTGTGGGGGAGGAAAAAAGCTGCAGAAGTTTGGATTCCCATATGTTAGATGAAACATGAAGAGCTCTCCAGGGTGGCCCTATGTGCATGAAAATGTGATGGTTTGCCCTTTCAGAGGAAGAATTGTGATGCAATGCAGTAATGTCTGTCCTTAAAATGAAGACGTGCCCTTTGCCCTTCCTGCAGAGAAAATGTGAAGACGTGCACATTAAAGCACCGTCTTATATCAGCTTATATCACAAGGCTTAGGCAGGTTGCTAACACGTGTCTAAATGAGACGTCATCACACCCAACATTAGCCACCTTTAGCTTAGCGGTGGTGACCTGAAGTCATGTGACCGTGCTGTAGTTCCTTTATAGCCCAACATTAGCCACCTTTAGCTTAGCAGTGGTGACGTGAAGTCATGTGACCGTGCTGTAGTTCCTTTATAGCCCAACATTAGCCACCTTTAGCTTAGCAGTGGTGACCTGAAGTCATGTGACCGTGCTGTAGTTCCTTTATAGCCCAACATTAGCCACCTTTAGCTTAGCGGTGGTGACGTGAAGTCATGTGACCGTGCTGTAGTTCCTATATAGCCCAACATTAGCCACCTTTAGCTTAGCGGTGGTGACGTGAAGTTATGTGACCGTGCTGTAGTTCCTTTATAGCCCAACATTAGCCACCTTTAGCTTAGCGGTGGTGACGTGAAGTTATGTGACCGTGCTGTAGTTCCTTTATAACCCAACATTAGCCTCCTTTAGCTTAGCGGTGGTGATGTGAAGTCATGTGACCGTGCTGTAGTTCCTTTATAGCCCAACATTAGCCTCCTTTAGCTTAGCGGTGGTGACTTGAAGTCATGTGACCGTGCTGTAGTTCCTTTATAGCCCAACATTAGCCTCCTTTAGCTTAGCGGTGGTGACCTGAAGTCATGTGACCGTGTTGTAGTTCCTTTATAGCCCAACATTAGCCACCTTTAGCTTAGCGGTGGTGACGTGAAGTTATGTGACCGTGCTGTAGTTCCTTTATAGCCCAACATTAGCCTCCTTTAGCTTAGCGGTGGTGATGTGAAGTCATGTGACCGTGCTGTAGTTCCTTTATAGCCCAACATTAGCCTCCTTTAGCTTAGCGGTGGTGACTTGAAGTCATGTGACCGTGCTGTAGTTCCTTTATAGCCCAACATTAGCCTCCTATAGCTTAGCGGTGGTGACGTGAAGTCATGTGACCGTGCTGTAGTTCCTTTATATACCAACATTAGCTTAGCGGTGGTGACGTGAAGTCATGTGACCGTGCTGTAGTTCCTTTATAGCCCAACATTAGCCTCCTTTAGCTTAGCGGTGGTGACGTGAAGTCATGTGAGCGTGCTGTAGTTCCTTTATAGCCCAACATTAGCCTCCTTTAGCTTAGCGGTGGTGACGTGAAGTAATGTGACCGTGCTGTAGTTCCTTTATAGCCCAACATTCGCCACCTTTAGCTTAGCGGTGGTGACGTGAAGTCATGTGACCGTGCTGTAGTTCCTTTATAGGCCAACATTAGCTTTTTACTTCAGAAATCATAAAGTGGTGTTAATATGTGGAAATTATCTTGTTCGACAAAACGTGGAAGTATCATAAACGTTTGTTTGACACAGATTTTGCAATAATCAAAAATCCAAGGGGAAAAATATCATTGCTTTTTTTGTCACCTTACTTCTTCCTTCTCTCTGTCTGTACCTGTGTACTCTCATGTTCCGATAACCCAGCGTCCCCCAAATTTCTTTTTTGTGTCTATCTACCCCGGGATCCTGAGTCGTGGCTGATCCTGTGGTCCTGTGCCCTGGATCCTCTATCCTGAGTCCTGGACTTCGAGTCGTGGCTGAACCTGTCTCTGCGGTCCTGCCTGACTCTCGTCATGCTGCTTCCCTGATGGCTCCCACAGGAGTGCTGACATCCTCGTGGATTCATCTTCTTATTATACACACATGCATTTCCAAACATTTGGTCTACCTAAGCTGTAAAATGTATTATCTCTTCAATTTACACACGGCATCTACAGTATTGTATTGCACGTCTGTCCGTCCTGGGAGAGGGATCCCTCCTTCGTTGCTCTCCCTGAGGTTTCTCCCATTTTCCCTTTAAACTGTGGGGTTTCTCTGGAAGTGTTTCCTTGTACGATGTGAGGGTTTAAGGACAGAGGGTGTCGTATTGTCATACTGATATTCTGTACAAACTGTGAAGTCCACTGAGACTAATGTAACATTTGTGATATTGGGCTATATAAATAAACATTGATTGATGATTGATTGATTGTCGAGGGGCTCCTTTGCGATAATGACTAATAACAAATTATTACACAATTCTGATCCTAACCGCCACTGTTAAAAGTCTGATATTATAAAGTCAATCAGAATTCCTTTTAGATCATCCTCCTGGTCTTACATAGTCAGATGTCTATTGCTGGTAAAGATTAAAAACACATGGGCAAGATAGATTTGTTTACTAAATGAAAACACATTAAATAAATAATGTATACATGGATGCTAAACAATCACAGTGTTCTTTTCCTGTAAGCAGAGTGTTATTGCAGAGAGATGCAGAATATGCTTATTTTATTAAATCAATAACCCTGGGAGATTTCCTCAGGACAAAGCAAGTGTCCTTATGGAAAGTCTAAATAAAGCTCCACCAGGTGAAACAAGGTGCATCAGTCGCCCTGAGGTTTGAAAATACTACTTTGCTATAAAGATCATTAATCTGCAGGACATGAGGGGAAATGCCATGGGAGCAGAGGTGGAGGAAGTACTCAGATCTTGATCTTGTACTTGAGTAAAAGTAGAAGTACTCAGATCTTGTACTTGAGTAAAAGTAGAAGTACTCAGATATTGTACTTGAGTAAAAGTAGAAGTAGGCTACTCAGATCTTGTACTTGAGTAAAAGTACCAGAGTGTAGGAATACTCTGTTACAGTAAAAGTCCTGCATTCAAAATGTTCCTCAAGTAAAAGTAGAAAAGTATTATCATCAAAATATAGTGAAAGTAGCGACAGTAAAAGTAGTCGTTGTGCAGATTGGTCCATTTCAGAATAATATATATGATATGTTTTATAATAATTGATCATGAAAGTGTTCTCAAAGCTGGTGAAGGTGCAGCTAGTTTGAAGTACTTTGTATACTGCAGGGTAGCTGGTGGATTTACTCCAGGTGGAACTAAAGTCTGATTCAACACTTGATTACATTTCACATCATTCATCCAGATCTGTAAAGTAACTAAAGGTATTTAATACATGTATTCTACATTCCCTGCAGTTATCCATGTAGTCTGAGACATTGTTTACAGCTTAAAAGGGGGTTAAATAAAATGTGTTGATTTTGTGTTAAAACCATACAGACCGGTCCAATTTGACCGGGAGAAACCAAAGTAAAGGGGGAGTAACGAACACCACAGAAGTACAGTACTTGAGTAAATGTACTTAGTTACTTTACACCACTGATGGTATCATGCATCATAAAGCAGCAGGTCTCGTGTCTCCTCGGGAAACCTGTGATCTCTGCAGAATAAAGACAGAGAGTTTCTCCCATGTAGAAAGTGCGCTGTTTATCATCTGAACCGGAATCCCCCCCCCCCCCCTTTGCGATAAGTGCGTGGTTCATTCCAGCGGCTGTGTTTCCTCAGTGCGAAGTGTGTTTGTGTTGTCCCTCCGCACACACTCACGCATGCACGCACGCACACACACACGGAGTGGATTTCGATGGAGCGGTTAAGACCGAGAACGCATCATCTCATGGAGGACTGCTTTACGCCGAACTGTCACTGAGGTAGGTTCGTGAATCGCTGATTTCTAACAGATTTTGTGTGCATTAAAATCCCCAAATGTGTCTAAGTGCAGAGAGGAAGCCACATGGGACCACGTGAGCTCCGAGGGGAATATGTTTACGCTAAAGTTATTATTAATTAATTCTGCAGGAACTGTGTATTTCAATGAATTATGCACCTCTGAATCAATTCTCTCAATGAGTAAGAGGAGCTTGCTTTGAGTATGTTATTCAAAAGCATGTTCAACCCATCGAGAGATAAAGTGCTAAAGCTGCTGAATGCACAGGAGGATTCCATTAAATTACAAGCTCCTTAATTATTCTCATATGAGAGGACACATCCACATACCTCTCCATGCTTCCACCTGCTACATTTCACAGCTTTAAAGCCTCGGGGAAATTGCATATCAAATGAGTGTATAACCGTACCAGAATGAAGAGCTGTGCACAAAGAGATCGTCTGCAGGTGAAATCACGAGGTTACTAGTATTTTTACACAAAGACAGAAAGGAATCGAGCTGTCAAAGTACTTGTCAAAGTACAAAGTGTACTTTCCACCTGCAGCCTTCAGTGATTCTGCTTTGTTTTTAGCCGGATGATCGTATAGAAAGTGCCAAAAAGAAAGCATGCAGAGGAAGCAGAAACTAATCAAAATCGTCTAGTAGGCTATGCATTAAAATGACTATTCTTTGAGCAGATTTAATTTGCAGCAATGAGAACTTAATTTAAAATGCAAAAACATTCATCGTATTTTCCATCGGTGCCATTCTTGCAAAGGAGGATTTATTTACGGACTTGCTAATTCCTTAATTATAATGAAATGTTTGTGGAAATACTTCCCTGCTGCAGCTCGGCAAACAATATGTTTCTCTGTCATAACCTTATTAATCCTGCTTGTATTCAAAAGTGAACGACCTTATCATTGTTAATGAGATGTCAATCCCCCTGTGTGCCTGTTTAATTCCTCACAGTTAACTAAAATACCCACAAGGCTCTGCAGCAGATATGCAGTGAACCGTCTGACACTCAAGTCTCAGGACAGAGAATGACCTGAGCTGACACTCAGCATCTAAAGAAACGCTCTGAAATGCATCCAGTTGTTATGCTTTGACGTCAGAGAGCATGATTCCTGTCTGTCAGGGTGTCTCTTCACTCCTCTCTCATGCGTCTTTCTCAAAGTGAGTGACAGCCCCTGTTTAAGGGAGGGTACGGGGATGTTTGATTGCCTGTTTCCTACACGACGGTTGTCAAATTTCACGGCTATTAGGCTTGTTAATAGGCGCTGGGAGAAGAGGGAGCAGAGAGTGCTTGGCTGGACCCTTTGATTATAGAGGGCATGGTTTGTGATGCTGAGGGACAGTGTCACATGTCACATAAATACAGCGCTGACAGGGACATAACTCGTACAGTGCTTACCTTTCGATGAGATTGAGAACGTGCAGATCACTTTGAGCGATCACACTGGGTGTACTGTGTGTGTTAACAGTTTTTCAACACAACATCCTTCGAATTTTGAGGAGGTTCTGATTGATTGATTAATGCAGCCAAAAGTCCAGCAAGAATATCATCCTTTTCATTAGATCCTGCTTTTTTAAGTCAAACTCAATCATAACCCTTTTCTACTGAAAAAGGGCCGCTCACAACAACAACAACAACAACAACAGATTGGCAGATTTGTTGCCAATGTGGTTCATTCACTGTCTGATTATCACAACCCCTGATGTATATATCCCCAAAAGTGAATGTTTCTCTGGTATTACATGTGCTGGTAGCATAGCCATCGAAGCTAATCTGACCACTTGTTGCATAATATTGTGGCATAAACTATTTTCTACTGGCATATTTTACCGGGCTATTTTTCAATATGATCTTACTTATGATAGTTTGACATGGCTATAATAAAAAAACAAGAGAAAGTTATACCGCTGCTTGCAAAACGATGATAATGGCAAATGGGTGGTCATTGAATTAGGGTATAAACCCACATGTATGCCTGGTTAGTGTTGCCTGGATTTATATAAGTGTGTTTTTATATTATTGTGTAGTAACGTTCGAGTCAATTTGCAACACAAAAAACTGGTTTGAAATCGAGCACTGGCTCCGAACTGGCACTGGAAACTCTTTAGTGGAAAAGGGTATCAGAGACAATTGTTTCAACAAATGATATGCACTCATTATGGACACTTACACTGCACTCAGAGGCCTGGGGAAAAGAAAAGTCACCCAGATCGCTATATTACAGTGCCACAAGGACTAGAATTATTACATGGTATTATATTCAAGATTGTGGGTAAACTGGTTCAAGAAACTGTGATTTATCAACAATCCATGAAAGATTGTTAGAAGCACGAACAGCTAAAGCATGAGTTTTATTTATTTCTAAGTATGAAATTATAATTAATGATTATAATTACCATCTTAAATCAGGCACGTCTAAATATGCTTTCCAAAACACGAGGCATGAAATCATGATTGCCCCCAGTGATGCTGCTGTAAAATCATTCTTCTGTGAATCAGTTATCATAATTTTAGACAAACACTTCATAAGTTTGTAGTTGATTTATGTTATTAAAGGGGCCCTATTATGCTCACAATCAGGTGTATATCAGTATCTAGTGTCTCTACTTTAAAGAGTCCTCTCCTGCTGATGTTCAGGTGTATATCAGTATCTAGTGTCTCTACTTTAAAGAGTCCTCTCCTGCTGATGTTCAGGTGTATATCAGTATCTAGTGTCTCTACTTTAAAGAGTCCTCTCCTGCTGGTGTTCAGGTGTATATCAGTATGTAGTGTCTCTACTTTAAAGAGTCCTCTCCTGCTGATGTTCAGGTGTATATCAGTATGTAGTGTCTCTACTTTAAAGAGTCCTCTCCTGCTGATGTTCAGGTGTATATCAGTATGTAGTGTCTCTACTTTAAAGAGTCCTCTCCTGCTGATGTTCAGGTGTATATCAGTATGTAGTGTCTCTACTTTAAAGAGTCCTCTCCTGCTGATGTTCAGGTGTATATCAGTATGTAGTGTCTCTACTTTAAAGAGTCCTCTCCTGCTGATGTTCAGGTGTATATCAGTATGTAGTGTCTCTACTTTAAAGAGTCCTCTCCTGCTGATGTTCAGGTGTATATCAGTATGTAGTGTCTCTACTTTAAAGAGTCCTCTCCTGCTGATGTTCAGGTGTATATCAGTATGTAGTTTCTCTACTTTAAAGAGTCCTCTCCTGCTGATGTTCAGGTGTATATCAGTATGTAGTGTCTCTACTGGGACATGTCTCCATGCTTTAATGTTCAAAATGCTACAACCCTGTGTCTCTCCTATCTAAAATGAAAATAGATGCAGCTTCTTAAAACCCACAAGTCCACGATGTTGCACCGAGGAATCTCTGGATTCGAGAGTGAGGTGGTCCCCGTATGACTGCACAACAAAGACTCCACTTAAAACCGTTCACTTTGCAACACAGGTCTGACTTTGATGCAAATCAAAGGACGGCAGTGGGTTGATGAAACTGAATATTTATGGTATTTTCCAGAGTACTTTGGAGCCTTTTTAGCGGCAGATGAAATTGCACTTGAAAGTTGTAGGTGGGTTGCTTGATGGCTGTTTCGAAAACTCAAGAGCTTTTTACTATAGTGAGAAAATCACTATAGTGTATACACAGTGCATTTACACAGAAGTTAAAACTATTAGCAGTGCTGTATCTTTAACCTTCAGCATATATCATTTAATCTAATCACTGATGCAAAAGAGAACATTGCACCCTTTGTTAACTTCACTAATCACTACATACCACTCGCGCTCCTATTGGCTACCGCTCCAACACATTGTACGTGATAGAGATGTCCCGCCCCCTTAGCCTAAGTGGTTGACCAATCACAACAGAGCCGGCCAGCTAACCAATCAGAGCAGACTGGGCTCTGGTTTCAGACAGAGGGTGAAAAGAGGTGCTGCAGCACAGGCAGTATGAGAACAATAAGAGCTTTTTGAACATTAAACAGACCTCAGTCTTTGGTAGTTATGAATTAAATTAGTTAGTGATTGGATACCTTAATTTATTAATGACAAAAGTATAGTATATCAAAGTATAAACATACCATTTTGAAACTATTCAATTTTTGCCTATAACTCATCTGTGTTTAAGAGTATATGTTACAAAATTGGTCAAACTTATTGATGACTTTTTTCTTTATTGTATGCTTTGCCTCTCTGTGCATTTCGAATCCAAATTTGCTGACATTTTGATCATTATTTCTCGAGATACATGCGATAAAGGCCGACTCAGTCCCCTTAAGCGAGGCCTACATTGTCACCATTTCTGGTTATCAATCAAAAATAATACATTTGCAGTAAAATATTTGTATACAACCATCCTCTTCAGAAATAAACATATTACAGTAATACAGGGGATTGTGCTTTGCCTCAACCTTAGTTCCCCCTAAAACATTCACAATAACTCAAAACATTTCCCCCATTCACGATATCTCTTATGAAAAGGCAATATTCAATATAGGCTCTACATACCTTCCTTCCTCAGTTCCTACATGTCACAAAATACCAATCTGAAAATGCACATCTTTAAAACAATTTCTCCCGCCTCTCTCTCCAGGATGCATCACCTCTCTGCTGCAGAAACTGCCTCTGAGTCCTCTGAGCAGCTACCATGGCGTACCCTAACACCAGCTCACTGACAGCCAACTCCAGTGGATCTCTGGGGGGTCACGACCACGGGGGAAACATCTACCGGCCTTTCTCTGTTTTCAGCGTGCTCACTCTCACGTTACTGGCCATGCTGGTGGTGGCCACGTTTGTGTGGAACCTGCTGGTGCTGGTGACCATCCTGAGGGTGAGGACTTTCCACCGTGTGCCGCACAACCTCGTAGCATCCATGGCTATCTCCGACGTCATGGTGGCCGCCTTAGTGATGCCGCTCAGCCTCGTCCATGAGCTCAACGGCCGGAAGTGGAAACTGGGACGAGTTCTGTGTCAGGTTTGGATCTCCTTCGATGTTCTCTGCTGCACGGCCAGCATCTGGAACGTGACGGCCATCGCGCTGGACCGCTACTGGTCCATCACCCGGCACCTGGAGTACACTCTGAAGACGCGTAAAAAGATCTCCAACGTGATGATCGCGCTCACCTGGCTGCTGTCGTCCATCATCTCCCTGTCGCCTCTGTTCGGCTGGGGGGAGACCTACACGGAGGGGATGAAGTGCCAGGTGAGCCAGGAGCCGTCCTACACCATCTTCTCCACCTTCGGAGCCTTTTACCTGCCGCTCTGCGTGGTGCTGTTTGTTTACTGGAAGATCTACAAGGCCGCCAAGTTTCGCATCGGCACCCGCAAGACCAACACCATAACTCCCATGGCTGAGGTGATTATACTCATGACATGCCCAAAAATGACATCAATTATTATTGTGCGTTCATACCGGACATAAAACAAATGTTTCGGTTTTGAACACATTTCATTTTATTGGTTGAAAGCAAATCAGAGCTGAATATCTCTGCCTGTCATTGTTTGATTATAAGGCAATGGCACACCGATGTCATAGTTCGGAATATTTGTTCAGAAATGGCTGTTTTTAAAAGTATGTGTACAAACCAGACAGTATGCTATATTCATCCAACCTCCACCCAGAAAACACGCATTTTAAACCTTTCTTGCAGACACACTTGCCAAAGCATTCATTCCTGGTTCTTAATAATCAGTATGTAGTTACTTCGGTATCATTTTGATACGAGCATTACCATCAAATCAGAGGCAAATCTTCGCTGTGCATCCGGTGTGAATGCACCATTAGAAATCATAATATCATTATCCTCCCCCTTGTCTAGGTATTAGGTAATAGATATCACTGCTACATGTATAGAACAAACTGTGAGAAAGTTGGTAGAAAGCTCTTTGTCTGCAGTTCATTTTGAGTTGAGACTTTTTGCGCTGCAGCTTCAAAAACAATGTAAATATAAAGTTTATCAAGTCATGACTTTGAAGACCTTACAACCTTATATCTGAAACTGCCGTGCAGATGGTTTGACACGGTAGCAGAGTAGATAAACCAGCAAGAACGACAGCAGTGAGCGTGCAGGAGGTGACACAGCTGAGACCAGCGAAGAGAGCGAGGAGACAGCCAGCCGGAGAGAGAATCAATGCAGGAGACATGGCCCACCAGCCAGGGGGGCTGAAAGTGTTGCCCAAGCGAAGAGGAGAAGGCACAATGCTCCTGGCAAGTGCCCAGCATGAGATAGTGAGAGTGGAGAATGTGGGAAGAAAAGGCCATCGGGGGAGAAACTGTTTCTCTGAGTCAGTGAAAGAAGTCCCTACGAATAAAAAAGCTCTGACCTGGGAGCAGTAAGTAAGCGATGTGGAGCATGGGACAGAATAAGAGCCCTGAAACCTTATTACACTAGGCTGCAGCATTGTAGTTTCAGCCAGGAAACATGGGTGCAAATACATAAAGACACCAAGTTGCCAAAAAGTGTGCAGAAAACAGGGCTTTAAATATCGGCTCCTTTTGAACGCACCATCCACTTCTGCCCGGAAAACAAGAGAGCCACTGCAATATACAGTACAGAGGCAATCAGATGATTACTCAAGACTTCTCACAGACATTGTACATGCCTTACACACCCCTCACTAACATACAATTAGCATTAATGTGACACAGAGCGTCCCTCATGACTCCGAAAGAACTGCTCATGGCGAAGATGAGAACCATACTTCAAAATAATCCGGCCCCTAAGTGGTTCGACGAAGCCCTCATCAGACGCAGAGATGTAAAGACGTAGAGAGGACCAGCATCCATTATCCAGGAGGGATGGGAGTGCAGAGAATATAAAACAGAGTCCCAGGAGGAGGTGAAACCCAACACCAAGTGTGCATGAAGTGAGGGTAACGGGAACTAAGACTGTCCATACAGACCGGCAATATAGATTCGCACTTCAAGTATTAGCCCACACTACAGTCGAGCTTACAGAGAACACATACTGGGAGGAAGAGATGTCAAGGTTTTGGATAATACTATCAGACAGCTGGAATAAACGCTGTGAGAAGCGAGTTGTTTGGAAGGACTGATTATGTTAAGATTTGTTGGCCATGCAGAACATGTCTCCTTCTCCTCTGGCTGATGCCCCTGACCCACAAGTTACCGTGCAATTATTTATCATGATGAGCTATTTCAGCAGCAATCAGGGAAACATAAGCATCGGACGCATGAGCATACGGGCGAAATAATTGCAGCAATCCTGCTCATCACCGCCAGCTTGTTAATGTGCGTCGGCAGAAGGTAGAGGGTTATAAATATCACCTCCAGCACCTTTCTGGCTTTGGCGTTTCTCCAATCAGCCGACACGAAATTTCCCCCGTGAAAATAGAATCAGCGCCCACTTTTCACCTGCCATTATGGGGGGGGGGATGCAATCTGGATATCCCCAAATACACCTTAGTGATGGAGATTACACCATTCTTAAAGCAAACACCTTTTTCTTTCCCTTATTAAAGACTTCAACATCACCCAGAGTCGAAGAAATTGGCAAACATAGACAGAAGATGGAAATATTTAACCGAAAATACACATTTATGTAATGCATGTACTTTGAAACCCCCCCAAGATATTCGTTATTTATTCAAGTGCAACATCAATTTGCCTGAAATGTATCAAACTAATCAGCCCAGTCTCAAAATGCTGTAGTTAACCAACTCTGTGTCAAGTTTCATTAAACAGGCAATCACTCCCGTAGCTGGCAATTAAATGGAATACATTTTATTAGTTTTCCACAGACAAACACGCAACTTATGGGTTGCATTATACGTGTCTCATTACCCAGCCGAATGTTGTTCTCATCATTTCCCAGCGAACATCGAGGAGTCAAAGCACCAAGAGATGTGAGAGATAATAGACCTAATGCACCGCTCCATCAACAACACCCACTGAAAGACATTAAGACGTAGAGACAGCAGAAACACATTGTGCATCAGGTGAGGTGATGCACACACAACTTAACCCCATACCTCTCAGGAAAACATTACAAGTATAGTTTCAGAAAGAAGTTTTACGCTAGCTGGCACCAGTTGTGTTTGTGAAAACATTTCCATTAGCAGAAACACGCTACAGCTTCAGAAAGGATGCAGATATAAAAACACAAAGGTTCCACATGAAGAAACATCTTCAGCAACTTGAGGAGACGTTTACTAAAAGCTGCAGAAACACAACGGAGACCAGGGGACACTAAAGAGTGACGCACACAGCTGGGAGACCAGGGGACACTAAAGAGTGACGCACACAGCTGGGAGACCAGGGGACACTAAAGAGTGACGCACACAGCTGTGAGACCAGGGGACACTAAAGCGTGACGCACACAGCTGGGAGACCAGAGGACACTAAAGAGTGACGCACATAGCTGGGAGACCAGGGGACACTAAAGAGTGATGCACACAGCTGGGAGACCAGGGGACACTAAAGAGTGACGCACACAGCTGGGAGACCAGGGGACACTAAAGAGTGCCGCACACAGCTGGGAGACCAGGGGACACTAAAGAGTGACGCACACAGCTGTGAGACCAGGGGACACTAAAGCGTGACGCACACAGCTGGGAGGCCAGGGGACACTAAAGAGTGACGCACACAGCTGGGAGACCAGGGGACACTAAAGAGTGACGCACACAGCTGGGAGACCAGGGGACACTAAAGCGTGACGCACACAGCTGGGAGACCAGGGGACACTAAAGAGTGATGCACACAGCTGGGAGACCAGGGGACACTAAAGAGTGACGCACACAGCTGGGAGACCAGGGGACACTAAAGAGTGACGCACACAGCTGGGAGACCAGGGGACACTAAAGAGTGACGCACACAGCTGTGAGACCAGGGGACACTAAAGCGTGACGCACACAGCTGGGAGACCAGAGGACACTAAAGAGTGACGCACATAGCTGGGAGACCAGGGGACACTAAAGAGTGATGCACACAGCTGGGAGACCAGGGGACACTAAAGAGTGACGCACACAGCTGGGAGACCAGAGTACACTAAAGAGTGACGCACATAGCTGGGAGACCAGGGGACACTAAAGAGTGATGCACACAGCTGGGAGACAAGGGGACACTAAAGAGTGACGCACACAGCTGGGAGACCAGGGGACACTAAAGAGTGACGCACACTGTGGACCATTTAAGGTTGAATCTAACTCTTAGTTTGAAGACAACCTCATCACTGATACACTGTTAAAATGACAGTTTCCAGATGTTGGGGATATCTGTTGTTTAGATGCCTTCACTCCAACATAATGCAACCAGATGGTGTTTGTGTATTTCTGTATTTAGGCGTGATGTGTCCATTTAAAATGAAGATCTTCAGTTTAGCTGCTGCACCATCTGGAGTGGAAGTGTCTTAAACAATCCACAATCAATGTTCATCCCAACAGCACTATGCGTTCAACCTCTGCTGTAAATGGACCTGGTTCATATGTCTTATCAGTTTAAGACCATGCGGACCGGTATTGATTCGACTAAACCGCAGAGTGGACGAGTCTTCCATCCGGGTGCAGGATGCTTTGAATGTTGAGTTTAAAATGTTAGTCTGTGCTCTTTACTTCCGACACATTTAGCCGGATGCTTCGTCTTTATAAAAAGCCGAACGACCTGGGACACTTCACCTGATAAGAAGAAATAGAGTCAGCCTTGAGTTGAGCTCGGCAACAAATGAGTGAGAAGATTAACATTGACATTTCCTTTCTTTCCTCCTCCTCCCAGCCAAGCAGTGGGTTTGTGAAATGGCACGAAATGGGCTGCTGGAAAATGCAGATTAAGACACAGCTCCGTTTTTATGCTCTGTGTGTGTGTGTGTGTGGTCTATCATTACTATACTTTTGGGGACCTAAATCTGTTTACAGAGTCACGTGTGGGGACTGGCTTCCCTTATGGGGACAAAATGGAGGTCCCCATGAGGGGAATCATTAATTTTAGGTTGAAGACTTGGTTAGGGTAAGGTTAAGGGTTAGGGTTAGGCATGTGTTGGTTATGGTTAAGGTTAGGATAAGTCTCCAGGAAATGCATGTAAGTCAACGTAATGTCCCCTGAAGTGATGTATACATGGTACTGTGTGTGTGTGTGTGTGTGTGTGTGTGTGTGTGTGTGTGAGTGTGTGTGTGAGAAGAGTTTCAGGGTATAAAAAGGTGGGATATTAAGTAAAATAAATCTGGATATTTGAGGGATTTTTTGGGATAATTAAAGGTATGTTTTTGAATAATTTGAGTAAAAAATCGAATATATTATGATAGAAAAAGTTGGAATATACTGAGAGAATGTATGTCATACAACAAATGATGTGTGTGTGTGTGTGTGTGTGTGTGTGTGTTGATTCCCACTTCTATTCAGCTTTCTTTGGAGCAGCCTATATTGTGAAAGATATTGCTTTTTCTCAGTCTGACGCTTTAACTAAAAAAGTGTCTGATTGTTGAATCAATGCACTTTTTTCACAACTGTCTGATCCCTCCCTCAGGTGAAGGATGAAGGCCAGCAGCCTCAGATGGTGTTTACCGTGCGCCACGCCACCGTGACCTTCCAGACGGACGGCGACACGTGGCGCGAGCAGAAGGAGAAAAAGGCGGCGCTGATGGTGGGCATTTTGATCGGCGTCTTTGTACTTTGCTGGATCCCCTTCTTCATCACGGAGCTCATCGTGCCGCTGTGCTCCTGCGACATCCCGCCCGTCTGGAAGAGCATCTTCCTGTGGCTGGGGTACTCCAACTCCTTCTTCAACCCGCTCATATACACTGCCTTTAATAAGAACTACAACAACGCCCTGAGGAACCTGTTCTCTCGGCAGCGCTGAGCCTCTCTGCTCAGACTCGATCACCAGCATCTCTCAGTGGGAATCCTCTTCGTCACTCAACCCTCCTTCAGATGGACGATTACCCAGAGACTATCTATGAAAAACAATGTCTGTGTGTTGTTTTTATTTGTTGTGCTGAGGTAACCTCACAGCTGGACTGAGACGGGTGTCTGAGCGACTTTATCCGCAAAGAAAGGAATAAAAGTGGATCTTTAAAACGAGGATACAAGCACTCTCTGTTCATCTCTCAAAAAGCCAGTTTTGCCACTTTTCAAAATTGCCGTCACTTCCAGCTGAGGAAACAATATTTTCCCAATGAGTTTCAACCACTGGATCAGTTCTTGTGATTTTGGCTACGGGGAAGTCAAATGTACTATTCACTGCTTTCTGTGTCAAAAAAGAAGCTTCTGACGCCGGAATTTAGTTTCTATGTGGTCAAAACTGTATGATTTGACACCATGATCATTTATTTAGGGAAAGTGAAAGGGATTTTATGGCAACAAATGTCATTATCAAGCCATCATTGGTGGCATTCTTGGATTTCATAGTGGATAACAGGCTTTTTAAAACCTCAAAAGAGTTTCTGTGCCAATGTTAGGACCCACTTTCCCTACATTCAATTATCAGCAGAACTACATTGCGTCTCAGGCTTATTGGAGAAGACATCAACAGTTTCATCATCACATGTGAAGCTGCTGAGAATCATTTCAAAGTAAAGCTGGGAGAAATATTTGTACAAAAAGATCCTCATAAATAAAAAGAACAAGAACAGACTGTGGAGTCTTTTCCAAACCAAAAGTGTAGATGACATTTAAAAATGTTTGAGTACAGCAAAGAGGGATTTTATCTGACCTGAAACGCTCCATAGGTACACAAGGAATTTATTCACACACACACTTCTAGATAAAGGTATCTCCTCTGATGCTGTGTACACACACACACACACACACACACACACACACACACACACACACACACACACACACGCCTTTTGTAAAGCAGGAAAATAGCAAGTTATTATTGCCATCATCTTTGAATAGATGTGAGAAACTGCAGAAATAATCCCATACCACGCAGCCAGCAATTAAATACAAATGTAGAAAATTGCTTTCTTTTTTAGAGAGAGGTGATGCATGTTTTAAAGTATGATATATATTATAGTAGAGGCGTAAGAGAAGCTAATGTTAAAGGAAACAATTATCCGTTATGGGCTCAGCACAGAAATCTCGTGGTGTTTGTCGAATGTTGTTTTTATATCACTCCACAATTGCCAAAAGAAACTCAACACTGTAGAATCAAATCCTTATTTTGGTGTGTAATAGAGTGGAGGAATCAAGCATGGCATATTGATCCTCAGCCAATAGTTGTGCTGTATTTAAGTGAGATGAAGGTATCACCAATCTGATGATATGTATATTTCCATAAGTGCATTTAACGTCACGGTCCAGTGAAAACCATGTATCTCCAGATTTGCTCATTTTGAATTATTGTAGAATTAAAAGTTAAAGAAGGATTCAGAAACTTCTCTTAATTCAACTTTCAGGCTTACTTTAACATGCTAACATGCGCTAAATGACAATTAGCATGTTAGTGTGCTATCATTTGCTAATTAGCTCTAAACCGAGGGTGCGTCTAATGCAGATATTTGATCATAAACAATGAATGAAAGCTTTGACTTGATGACAATGCTAACTTATTAATGTTTAGTAGGTTTAATGTTTACCAACTTAACCATCTGAATTAGCCATGTTAGCATGCTATATATTGCTAATTAGCTTTAAACAGAGTTCAGCTGATGCAGGTATTTGGTCATAGAAAGCATATGAAAACTTTGATTTGATGACGGCGCTAGATGAGAAATTAGGGGATTACCAACGTTTGCACAAAAACCTGACTAGGACATGAATGTGTAGCTTCTCCTTTCACGATATTTCCCAGAAAAAAAACAAAGTTGCAAAGGTAAAGTCAGTGGGATCACCAAAAACCATTAAATCCACTGGACTCCATGGATATTATTTAAGCAATAGCTCACGACAGGCCGTGGTATATGCTCATTATATCACAGCTAAGGGGCGTGGTTCGGCCCGACTCGAAGCTTTTCAGCCCAACTGTATACAGTTAAATCGACCGGACTTCTTTCTGCAGATGTGAGCGTCCTTAACAACGGTCAATAACTTAAGTCCTTGCTGCACATTAAGTCCCTGCTGCACATTAAGTCCTTGCTGCACATTAAGTCCTTGCTGCACATTAAGTCCCTGCTGCACATTAAGTCCTTGCTGCACATTATCCCTTACATGTTTCCATCTTAAGCTTTGTTAGTTAGTTTGTTTCGTAACGGACGTAATATAACAGTTGTAATGGTTGTAGCTTTTCTCAGACGCGGAGGGATACTGACTTGTTGTGAAAAGTAACTACAATTCTACCCGTGACATACGCTCATTTATCACGGCTAAGAACCAATCAGATTGCTTGATTTGACTTGTCCGTTTTATAAAGCAGTTTAGACGACAGTATACTGATTAACTGATATTGCCACACAAAAAAAAGTATGAGAAATTGCAAGAGATACATCGTTTTCACTTGACTAAAACAATATTAAAGACTACAGTAAAATACCCTTTTGTAAATGTTTTGTACACTACACAACATGGCCTCTTTACCTGACCCTTTTACCTTGATTTGTACTTTTAAATTATATTATAATAAAACCATACAGACCTCATATAATAGCTAAGTAAGAGTAGATTATAACTTCAGAGTTCTTTAGAAATAGACGATTAATTTAAAGACTAATTGCAATGGTTTGAATCTAAAACATGTGGTTGTAAATATTGAAATGCATGGAGTAGGCAGAAACAGGAACAATTATATATGTTAAAATGAGTTCTGGTGAAGCAGATTAGCTCTTCTTTCATGTATAAATTGCATGACTAGCTGGTTGACTTCTTCAGGATTCATACGACTTCTCACTGCTCTCACATCGCCCGAGACTGATTGATTATTTCCCCTCTGCCCCTCTTAGGTCTCGTTCTGTGTGATGACCCAGCTCAGGAAAAGTGTTTCTGAAATGTGTCGTTTACCATCCTTTTTGTTGTGACTGTCATGTTCAAAAGAGGTTTAAAAAAAAAGCTAAGAAATGTGGATTATTACCTCCCTCACAGGACCTTTTTGGATACTTGTGTTCATATCTGAAAAAAACAGACATAAGTGTAATGGAGTTTTTTTGAATGGTCCATCATGTGTAATTGTGTCAGTGTTTTCTTTCTACAGACTCCTTGGATGGCACAATTGACAATAAATGAGTCCTTAAACACGTCATTGAGCTTTGGTGCTTTGAGAGAAAGCTTTTGGAAGTCTCACACACACACACACACACACACACACACACACACACACACACACACACACACACACACACACACACACACACACACACACACACACACACACACACACACACACACACACACACACACACACACACACACACACACACACACACACACACACACACACACACACACACACAAACTACTAAAACAAGTAATCTAGTCCATCATCAGAGCAGCTCTGGTTTCAGACAGAGGGTGATAAGAGGTGCAGTACAGGCAGTATGAGAAAAATAAAGAGCTTTTTGAACATTAAAGCATGGAGACATGTCCGGCAGTGGCTATAGGGGCTTGGATTGTGAGCCGTAGGGTCGCCGGTTCAAGTCCCCGACCAGACCTAAATATGGAGTGTGGATACCCTCTTTAAAACTCTCCCCATCAGACCAGAACCCTAGAGAGCACACAAACATAAAAAAGCTCCATTCAAACGTGACAAAAACAACACAAGCTAAGTGTTTTGACTTCACTGTTATCGCTCTTTAAGGGCAGACTCCCCGCGGGGCACTTCATTTAAAATGTGGCGGAAACTCAACAAAAACCCACCTAACCAATATTGCCTTGTCTACGTTATTCTCTCGGCTCGATCACTTTTTTTTTTTAAACAGCGTGGTCGTAAAAGGTAGATATAAAAATACACGATCTCCACATGCCAACTCTCTTTGTAAAAAATAAACCCTTAATCCATCGAGGCATGTGTCGACAAGTGTTTTTTTTTTTTTTTTAAAGTCAACCTGTCGAATATTCTGTAAAAACCAAGAAACGCCTGCAAAGAATTTACTCTTACAGCTTTGACAATAACTCCTTATGACAGTCATTGCCAAACTGCTGGAGGTCATTTTTATACCCAGGCATTGGTGTGTTTTCCCTTTATCTCGCTGCCAGCCTCCACATCCCAGAGCCAGGAGGGAGCCGGCTTCTGTTCAAAGGAGCACATCCATCCATCCATCCATCCATCCATCCATCCATCCATCCATCCATCCGTGTTTTTAAAGACGACAGCATGCATCCAAACGCAGCTCCTCGGTTGAACTGATTTAGGATCAGATCCAGACGCCTCAGGCACTAAAAACCTGTGCTTTAGCTGCAGAAATAGAAGCCATTTCAGCAGCTTCACGACATGTGTTTACTGAGACTCGTTCACTACCCTCTTCATGAAGACAACACATCAGCAATGTTGGCTAAAGCTGCCCCATTTACTATTTTTGTGACAGTTGATCAGTGGGGACTGTCCACGACACGATAAACAAATAAACTAAACGTTGAATATAGATTGTTTTAACTTATGTAATCGTAACCCCTTTTTTCAAATGTATATACCACACCTTATACTCCAGAGTTGACCTGTAAACCAAGATATCCCTACATTGTTAACACTAGCCTCTAAATCAGGGGTGTCCAAACTACGGCCTGGGGGCCAAATGCGGCCCGCGGACCATTTTGAATCCGCCCTCACTCAGAAATTTCAAAAAGTATAATGACTTAAGTATAATAAACCTTTGCTTGTCTTATATTGTGCTCCTTAAATATACATGTTCAAATATATTACACAGTATTCATGAGTGAAGAAGCCCAATTCTCAAAAAAATTCAGTCACTTAAAGTTGAAAACATGTTCTAACAAATATAAGTTGATAAGAGAAAAGCCCAATAACACACTCACATAACAACCTTGAAATAGACCCTTCATATGTCCTCTTATTATCAGCAATCTGAAGCTTCTGTTTTAAGGAATGAGCTGCTAACAAAATAAATGAAACCCCATGTAGGCTGTGTTTTTCTTACAGCAAGTATCAAGAATAATTTACCTACATTTTTCCAACTTATAACTGAACTTATGAGGCGATATACTTCTAGCCAGCCCTTCGTATATTTGTCTATAAGTGGCCCTCGGTTAGGGCTGTGCAATTAATCGTATTTTAATCGCAATTACGATTTTGGACCACCACAATTACGAAAACAACGTAATCGAAAAATCGATTATTTTGCTTTGCTTGCTTGTGACAGCATATTTGATCTAATTTATTTTGGTATTTTTTGTATTTATCATATTTACATATGTTTAGTAGCTTGTTGAAGTGCGCTCCAAAATATTGATCTTGTTTATTGGTATTTATTATTTTGATATTATTTATTTAAATGTAAATATATCATTTATTTTTTGATTGGTTTTTCAGTTGAATTATACGTTCAGGTTAATCAACAGTTAAAAATATACTATTCAAATTATTATTTGTATTTGTTTTAAAGTTCAATAAATGGATGTTTTCAAAGTCAATGAATAATCGTATTTAATAATCGTGATATCAATTATTGACCAAAATAATCGTGATTATGATTTTTGCCATAATCGCACAGCCCTACCCTCGGTGCAAAAGGTTTGGACACTGCTGCTCTCCATAAAACAGGTAGCAACATGGGTAAAGTGCATGTTTTGGAGACATGGTGCATTGACCTGATATGACCTGTTTTTGTGTCTCTCTTATCTTTACAACAAAAAGGAATCAATCTGTTTCTGTCGACTCTGTTGTTCCACTTGTTATTCTGCGACGCTGTTTTATTCAACGGCACAGCAGGACAGTGAGAAAGAAGATCCTGGCACACAGATCTGATGAGTGGCGTGTCACTCTCACTTTCTCACCCTCCGCTCGACGCCTGGCTCGCTTTTTAATTCAGGTTCTCGGGGCAAAGAACAGAGGTGATTGTAAGAGAATTTAAAATGGGAATTTGTGACCAGAGGCAGGAGATGATAACAAATGTGTTTGCCCCAGGACAGAGCTGGGATGGACAGTGCTTACCTGCTTTTTGAAAGTGTATTCGTTCATGTTTTAATTCATGAGCTCAAATGAAGGCCGAACACTGAAATCTATTGACTGATTCAACAAAAACAAAAAAATACCAAAACATGACATTGTGCAAAAGTAGAAACAAGAGTATGAGAATAAAGCCAGTGGTGAAAGAAGTAGAGACACTACATACTGATACCTGAACATCAGCAGGAGAGGACTCTTTAAAGAAGAGACACTACATACTGATATACACCTGAACATCAGCAGGAGAGGACTCTTTAAAGTAGAGACACTACATACTGATATACACCTGAACATCAGCAGGAGAGGACTCTTTAAAGTAGAGACACTACATACTGATATACACCTGAACATCAGCAGGAGAGGACTCTTTAAAGTAGATACACTACATACTGATATACACCTGAACATCAGCAGGAGAGAACTCTTTAAAGTAGAGACACTACATACTGATATACACCTGAACATCAGCAGGAGAGGACTCTTTAAAGTAGAGACACTACATACTGATATACACCTGAACATCAGCAGGAGAGGACTCTTTAAAGTAGAGACACTACATACTGATATACACTTGAACATCAGCAGGAGAGGACTCTTTAAAGTAGAGACACTACATACTGATATACACCAGAACATCAGCAGGAGAGGACTCTTTAAAGTAGAGACACTACATACTGATATACACCTGAACATCAGCTGGAGAGGACTCTTTAAAGTAGAGACACTACATACTGATACACACCTGAACATCAGCAGGAGAGGACTCTTTAAAGTAGAGACACTACATATTGATATACACCTGAACATCAGCAGGAGAGGACTCTTTAAAGTAGAGACACTACATACTGATATACACCTGAACATCAGCAGGAGAGGACTCTTTAAAGTAGAGACACTACATACTGATACACACCTGAACATCAGCAGGAGAGGACTCTTTAAAGTAGAGACACTACATACTGATATACACCTGAACATCAGCAGGAGAGGACTCTTTAAAGTAGACACTACATACTGATATACACCTGAACATCAGCAGGAGAGGACTCTTTAAAGAAGAGACACTACATACTGATATACACCTGAACATCAGCAGGAGAGGACTCTTTAAAGTAGAGACACTACATACTGATATACACCTGAACATCAGCAGGAGAGGACTCTTTAAAGTAGAGACACTACATACTGATATACACCTGAACATCAGCAGGAGAGGACTCTTTAAAGTAGATACACTACATACTGATATACACCTGAACATCAGCAGGAGAGAACTCTTTAAAGTAGAGACACTACATACTGATATACACCTGAACATCAGCAGGAGAGGACTCTTTAAAGTAGAGACACTACATACTGATATACACCTGAACATCAGCAGGAGAGGACTCTTTAAAGTAGAGACACTACATACTGATATACACTTGAACATCAGCAGGAGAGGACTCTTTAAAGTAGAGACACTACATACTGATATACACCAGAACATCAGCAGGAGAGGACTCTTTAAAGTAGAGACACTACATACTGATATACACCTGAACATCAGCTGGAGAGGACTCTTTAAAGTAGAGACACTACATATTGATATACACCTGAACATCAGCAGGAGAGGACTCTTTAAAGTAGAGACACTACATACTGATATACACCTGAACATCAGCAGGAGAGGACTCTTTAAAGTAGAGACACTACATACTGATATACACCTGAACATCAGCAGGAGAGGACTCTTTAAAGTAGAGACACTACATACTGATATACACCTGAACATCAGCAGGAGAGGACTCTTTAAAGTAGAGACACTACATACTGATATACACCTGAACATCAGCAGGAGAGGACTCTTTAAAGTAGAGACACTACATATTGATATACACCTGAACATCAGCAGGAGAGTACTCTTTAAAGTAGAGACACTACATACTGATATACACCTGAACATCAGCAGGAGAGGACTCTTTAAAGTAGAGACACTACATATTGATATACACCTGAACATCAGCAGGAGAGTACTCTTTAAAGTAGAGACACTACATACTGATATACACCTGAACATCAGCAGGAGAGGACTCTTTAAAGTAGAGACACTACATACTGATATACACCTGAACATCA